GCATTAGCAGTCCCATTGAGGATCTCTGATCCCATTGTGCTAGGTTGGCCGTGCCTGGAAGAATAGCCAATTCTAGAAGAATAGCTTCTACCCCCAGCAATTTACTGTCTGAGGAAGCAATTTGACAGAGAAGTCTGGCTGGCATGTCTCATATCTCCTTTTAGCTTTTATGGAAACTTTTGGCTCCCACTAGATTTCTGACAACGTTACTACATGATGGTGGCCATCGTCTGAAGGGCACAGAGTACACAGTGGGGATATTTCTGTAAGCATGTTGTCTGTCTGCCTCCTCAGTGATGTCACGCGACAGAGACATGCTTTTATCTATTTAGCCACGGAATCAAGTGGTTTTCTTCTGAGGGATGTTAAAGAGCAGTTGCACTATTTTAGAGTAAAGAGATTTTTTAAACAAAAGTAGATTAATCATGAAAGGGATTGTACAGAGTGATGGGCCTGAGATAGCAGGAAATTGGATTCAATGATTTAGGACACAGTTGATGTTTCTGTGACTATGGACAGTACTGAAAGGCACTAGGATGCAAAATCACTCATATCTAGACCAGGACAGACCTACATCAATACTGATCCACTTTATTTTATGGCAGCACTTTGAAGACTACACATGCGAGGTGTTGGCACCATCCTGTTGCTACTTGACAGGTGTGCACATCACAGCTGGTAGTAACTTACATTCTTTTGTACATGCATGAAGAAGATACCGATGATCAGGCGTGCACTGAAGCAGGACTAATCCTCGGCCTCTAGACTGACCTGTCTAGGATTTGAGTAGAAGCACACTGGAGAGGCACAGAGGCGGCACATTCTCTGCCCATGCTCTGTTCCTATTCTATATCTCCTAGTGATCTTTTAAAGTTATTTTTGGAAAGAGGGAAGAATCTCTTTTAGACTTTTTCTAGAGGGGTTGTAAAATTTTATATTTCTCATTTAGCGCTTCTGTATTTAGTTCAGCATTAAGTTCCAGCTCTCCCTCTCTATGGATAAGTATGATGATAAAAATACACAGGTCTTCACTCTCTCCCTTTCTTTTGTTGTTCTGCCAAGCAATAGAAAAGATGAGTTTGTTATCCAGAGAATCAGTTAGAGGAACTGATTGGGTTGCATAGGATAAGCCCTCCAGCACTAGTTTGCCAGCATCAAAGCACTGTTGTTTTTTTTTTTTTCTGTAATCCCTTGGACAGATGTTCTGAAAAGTTGCACACATTTTTTTATCGCTACTTAATGACAGCAAAATTCTTACCAATTGACAATATACTAATTCATGCCACAGATGTTTTGGAACATTCTGGGTAACATGAGACTGACTCTTACACAAATTCCTGCACACTCCAGAATATATTTTGAGTGCTCATATACCCACTAAATAAAATGCTTCCAAGTGTCTAAATGCTCCTAGGCATTGAATTTTGAAAATAAAGTTGAACATTGAATGTATTCCTATGCCATTTAACCATTTTTGAAACTAAGGTTAAGCACTTCAGAATAGGAAATGACCAAGCTAACATGCATGCAGGTATGGCTCAGCCCTTCATTAAATGATCACAAAGTATTTCTCTATGTATATTCTTTGTCTTCATATAGAAGGGCTGGTGGACTAGACTGTTGTGGACTAGAAGTGTAAAAACGTGAAAAAGCCTTACATACAATGCCTACACTGAGCAGTCTTTGGAAATTTTGTCATTTAGTGAAAACATTGACTATTTGTATTAAATTCTTCATATTTTATTAAGTCTGCCCAAGATGTTATAAATGTCTTGTGTTAAACCCTTGTTTATTATTCTATTAGCATAGATTATGAAGGTTTCCAGTGCAATTAGGATAGCCATATGTTAGCCTCTCTGTGAGGGAAGTCAAACCTGGGCAGTAAGCCATGTTGAAAAGTTCCTCTTCCCTTCTCTCCCAGCTCTCTGAGACATGCTGCGGCTCCTCACAAAGTCCTTGCTAAGTTAGAGTATGGCCAATTTGCCATGATTTTGCAAAGTAGTTCAAAGTGTTAGTGTTTAATCTTCTGACAGCGATCCTGAAAGTGTTTCTCCTAATTCAGTA